GGTATTCATGTGCATCTAGGACTTATTGATGCTGATTATTTAGGACAGATTCATGCTATGGTACCCATTGATGACCCTCCTGTCACTATTCAGAAAGGAACTTGCATTGCTCAAATTGTACCTTTTGTGAATTCTGTTCTGAATACAGTGGACCGAAGTCGTGGCACAGGAAGTTTTGGATCAACAGGGATACCTCAAGTGTTCTGGGCTCAGAAAGTTATGGAGAACCATCCAGAAAAGACACGTATCCTCACTGCCAGTGGGTGTCATCCAGGAACCATATCAGTAACAGCCTTGATTGACACTGGAGCAGATGTCACAATACTCTCGTGACTTTGCTGGCCTCAATCGTGGCCTCTCACTCATGCAAGTTTTGGACTTCTGGGGTTGGGTGGTGCTTCAACAGGTGGCCTGTCAGCCATTGTAATTAATGTGAAACATCCTGATGGCCAACAAGCTATCATCAGACCCTATGTTGCCGATTTGTGGGGATGACATTGTGGGGATGACATTGTTTATCTCAATGGGCTGTCAAAATACGTATTTTTAATAGGGGCCACTGTGATGCAGGGCAATGAACGTCCAGTTGTAGCCTTGACGTGGTTGACAGATGAACCTGTCTGGGTTGGCAACCTCCATCACATTAATGTTACTTAAGTCATCAGTTCATTTGCTTCCCACAGGAGTTTTAGGACCATCCAGGCAGCGTATGCATGCATTGTTTTTAGGTTGGTCATCCATCTCCTTGATGGGACTTTTTGTTCTCCTTGGGGTTATAGACTCTGATAATGAGATTATGATCATGGCCTGGACACTCCAACTGCCTTTCACTGTTCCCCAAAGAACTTGAATAGCTCAACTGATTTTATTTCCCCAAACCATGAGCATACCTTTTACAGACGTAATATGAAATAGGGGATTTGGGTCTACTGGAACACCCCAAATATGTTGGGTACAACCTATACTAGAACAATACCCCACATGCTGGTGTACCCTGACATTAAAAGGGCAAAAGATAACACTTGACAGCCTCATAGACACAGGGGTTGAAGTTAGTTATCTCTCAAGACAAATGGCCCTCACAGTGGTCCCTTGCTAAAGTGCTCCAGGCACTTTCAGGCATTGGAGGAAGCAGCCACAGCTGTCAAACCCACCACTGGATACAGATCAAAGGGCCCGAGGGACACCGTGCCTCAATCATACTGTTTGTATTACCAGTACCAATGGTACCATGGTGGGGGATGTTCTCTCCCAATGGGGCTTTAGGATTCAATCAGCTTTTTAAAGGGGGCCGTTGGAGAGCGACACTTTAAAACTAACCTGGAAAACAGGGAAAATGGTTTGGGTGGATCAATGGCCCCTACCATTGCAAAAACTTTTTGTATTAACAGAGTTGCTCCAACAACAAATCCAGAAAGAGCATTTTGTCCTTTCTAACCGTCCTTGGAATTCTCACATTTTTGTTATCAAAAAACAAACTGGCAAATGGCGCTTACTCCATGATCTTTGAAAAATAATGCAGCTATGGAGGACACAGAGGCCTTACAGCCAGGTCTCCCATCTCCTACCATGATTCCCAAAAATTGGCACTTGACTGTTACTGATTTAAAAGATTGGTTTTTTGACATTCCTTTACATCCTGATGATGGTCCTAAATTTTCCTTTTCAGTTCCAAGCACAAACATGCAGGCACCCTTAGAGCAATATCACTGGATAGTTTTACCTAAGGGCATGAAAAACAGCTGTACTATTTGCCAGTGGTATATTGCTAGGTCCTCAATTCTGTTCATCAACAAATGCCTAATGTTCTTTTGCACCATTCTATGGATGATATTTTTGTAACAGCTGAACAACAGGAAGTCATGGAGGAAGCCTTAGTTAGCCCTTGTCACCAAAGCTGTAAATCAGGCAGGGCTTTGCATAGCTCCCAAAAGGTACAAAAACATCCTTCATGGAGGTGTTTGGGGTGGTGCATTGGAGTCTCTTCAATTTCTCCCCAAGGTCTTCAAATTCAGACAAATATTTGCACCTTACATGATGCACAAAAATGTTTGGGAACAATCAACTGGGTGCACTCCTTGTTAGGGAATTCAAATACAAAGCTAAAAGTCCTTTGTTTGAATGATTAAAAGGAGATTCAGACCTTTTATCACCTAGACAACTTACATTTCAAGTTCAGCAGGTGCTGCAATGCCCAACTGATGTCATAATAAACCAACAAGCTGCACACTGGGCACCTGAGCTGCTTTTCTTTTTAATAATCTTGCATCCAGCAAAACAGCCCCATGCCTTGATGTTTCAATGGGACCCCAATGCACCAGACTCTTTGTTTATCACTGAATGGATTTACTTACACCCCAAATGACTAAAACCATCAGTACCCAACATGAAATGATGGCCCAACTGGTTGTTAAGGCCTGACAGAGACTCATTTCTCTTGCAGGAGGGGAATTTTCCACTCTTTTCCTACCTTTAACCACCTTTTATTTGAATTGGATAGTTCAGGGATCAAGGCTCTTCAGATGGCCTTTCCTGAATTCAGTGGACAAATCTCAATACATCCTCCAAAACATGAGTTGTTTTAACAGCTTTTAAAAGCTTTTTTTAAGCTTTTTTTTTTTTTTTCAATTGACAGAGAAACCCAAGAGGAGTGAGGTTCCACTTCAAGCCTTAACAGTATTCACAGATGGTTCTGGTCACTCTCAGAAATCTGTGGTAGTATGGAGAGACCCCTCTTCTAGTGGGTCTAATGGAGAGCAGATTTATCCATATCTGAGTGGTCCCCCCCAATTGTTGAACTTGCTGCTGTTGTCAGAGCTTTTCAAAAATTTTCTGTTCCTTTTAATCTGCTTACAGATTCAGCTTATGTTGCAGGAATAGTGATGAGAGCCAAAGCATCAGTTTAGAAAGAGTTGAAAATTCACAACAATTTTATTGGTTGCAGCTCCTTGTTTTTTCCTTAGAAAATTGAACATTTCCTTACTTTGTTATGCATATTTGTTCACATACAGACCGTCCCAGATTTTTAGCTGAAGGGAACAGGCAAGCTGGCCTTTTAACAATGCCTGTACAACAATCTGTTCTGCCTAATAAGATAGAACAGCCTAAATTGATCCATTTGTTTTTTCACCAAAATGGTGTCACTTTGATTTGGCACTTTGGCATTAGTAAAGCCCAAGCTTCAAGAACTATTGCTGTTTGTCCTGATTGCCAAAGGTGTTCTTTTCTCTCTATTGCAGGAAGTATTAATCCCAGAGGGCTTCAGAGCCTTAAAGTCTGGCATCAGACGTTACCCATTTTTGTGAATTTGGTCATTTAAAATACATTCATTCCTCTATTGATACCTTTTCTGGTGCTCTTTTTGCATCTGCCCATTCAGGGAAAACAGCTTACGATGTCTCTAGACACTTCACTGCTGCTTTTGCCATTCTTGGTATACATCTGAAGTGAAGACAGGCAATGGCCCAATTTATATTTCCCGTCGAGTTGCTAACTCTTTTGCCTTCTGGGGAATTATGCACAAAACAGGTATTCCTCATTCCCCAACAGGCCAATCTGTCACAGGCTCATGGCTCCCTCAAACATCTCTTGGTACAACAGAAAGGGGGGTCAGAGATGGAACCCTGCCAAGAGACTGCAGAAAGCCCTTTATGTGATCAACTTTTTGAATTGTTCTTTGATGGACCCCAACCCACCGATTGTTCCACATTTTAATCATGAATCACAATTGCAACAAAAGGAAAGAAACCCCTGCATTAGTGAAGGATCCAGAATCTGGTAAGATATTGGGGCCTTATCCTTAGGCCACCTGGGGTAGAGGTTTTGCTTGTGTCTCCACAGAGAATGGTCCTGAGTGGATTCCAGCAAAGAATGTGAAGCCGTTTTTAAGAATCTTTGAGTGCATCACCTGAAGATTCACCTTGAACACCAACATTGGCGGAGAACCCTTGTGAACAGGACCTCACCACCACACCAGCGCCTGTTTAACCTCTAACAGACTTATGTCCTTAAGAAAATGGTTAAGATTACCCAGTGGTATCAGGGTTTACAGGGCTAGGAAAACTTCTAGGGGATTGGAGACTTGGTGGATGGATAAAAAATTTAGTTAAAATAGGCTTCTATGCATTAGGCATTGTATTATGTATTGTTATGGTTATTCCTTGTATTTACAGTGTGAGAAAAAATTAATAGACAAGTCACTTAAGAGTGTATTTTTGTTTGAACGGATAGGGGGAGGGATGGGAATAAAACAGAGAGAACAGTAGAACTGATAAAGGGGCCTGATATCTGAGGCCTGATTGAGTGGAAACTGTGGGAAAGACAGACACAGATAAAGGTTCCCTGGGCAAGAAGTGATCAAGAAACATGTTGTGATACTTTGTGACGTTACCAGGTGACCTGATGTCCTGAAGAATGTGTAACCAAGGGAAATTGTTACAAAAAATTGAGCCCTATAAAACTACCATACAAGTAAAACCCCATATAAATCCCTGGCATACTCAATAAAATTGGCTTCTGATCTGAAATCGGATGTCCCGTCTCTCCATCGTCATTAACCCCCCTAGGTGGGGGGAAGATGTTGGAGAGATTCCTTTCCTTTCTCTTTGTCCTGCTGTGATTTGGTTGGTAATAAATTCACTCCCTGTCTCAGGCTGGCTCTATTTTGCCAATGCTGGTGCTCTGGGCGGGATCACTCCCATTCCTGCACTCAACTCCCAGGCCTCTCCACAGCCAATCAGAGAATGTGATGAACAAGAGTCAGCCAATCAGAGAGAGCAGTTCTGATGAGTCACCAGTTGCTGGGCAGACCCACAGCACCCAGTGTTCCCTGGACCCCACCCTCCCTGCTCAGTCACACCCCAATCCTCCCTGCGCAATCACAGGAGGTCCCAGTCAGGTGCAAGGCCACGGGAAGGGGCTGCAGCTGCCACTGGCTCAGGAGCTCTGAGGGCAGAAAAAAGGGGGTGACACCGGGATGGGGGACACTGGCAGGGCTTCCCTTAATGGTGCCTCCATTTGTGTTGGCCCAAGTGAGAGCTTCTGGAGAATCTCTTCCCACACACAGGACACTCATTGGGCCTCTCCCCAGTGTGGATGTGCCTGTGGGTGACGAGGGTGGAGTTGCGCCTGAAGCCCTTCCCGCAGTCGGGGCAGTGGAAGGGCCTCTCCTCTGTGTGAATCTGCTGATGTACTGAAGCACAGACAGACAACTCTTCAACTAATTAAAGTTGAAAAGAAGGGTATTTTATTGCAGTGCTGGACACATAAGGAATCATTTCCAAATGGATGTGCAAGGAGTTGCAGACTCCTGCTCTCTATTTATACAGAAAAGGTTTTACATATCCAAGCGGTTTCTAAGGATGCATAATACATAATCATTATCTGTCCACTTTGTATTATAGTCAGCTGAATACCTAATATGACTGCGCAATTGCACTGCCTTAATTGGGTCTGTGGGATTTTGAAATAAGGGAGTGGGCGTATGTGAAGAAGAAAGCTCTCTTCCTCATGGTAAACTCTTCACCCATGGCGAGTTTGCAGGACTTTTTGATCTGCTGGTCATGGTCCAAGCCACTCCAAACTGATTATTCTTAAGGCAAGATATTTCTATGGTCTCTGCTCCTCCACAATTGCTACATCTATCCCTGTCACTCCGAGCTTTACTTTCTAATATATTTGTTACTCTTTCACTAACCTATGTGATTTTTGCTTAGCTAACATACCTTCTTAACTAATTTTAAAATCTTAACTAAAATATGTAATCTTCTACTATCTCAGTTATACTCCCAGCTGGCCCCTTGACTCAACCACAGTTTTCAATTATCGTAAATACATTTCCAGCTGACCCCTTGACTCATTACGATGAGATTGGAGCTGCTCAGAAACAACTTCCTACACTCGGGACACTCATAGGTTCTCTCCCCAGTGTGGATCTTGCAGTGATTGATGAGGTTGGAGCTCCACCCAAAGCCCTTCCCACACTCCCCACACTTGTAGGGCTGTTTCCCCATGTGGATCACCTGGAGCCAGATCACATCTGAGCTCCAGAGCTCCAGCTGAAGCCCTTCCCACATTCTAAGCATTTGTGGGGTTTCTGCCAGCCATGAGTTGTCTCCACCACCTCTGAGTTCTGAATGAATCTCTGGCTGCCTTCTGGACACAGGGGGCATCTTTCCTCCTCACAGCTGCCAGGGCTGGGTTTGCAACCCCTCCTTGTGTGGGATCTCCAGGGCTTATCCTCCCCGTTGGATTCCCATGCCATGGAGCTGCTCAAAACGGCCTCTCCCATGAGGTTATGCAGCAGGGATTTGCTCTCCCTGGTCTCTGTCTGCAGCTCAGTGCCTGGGGAAGGAAAGGAAAGGAAAGGAAAGGAGAGGAAGGAATGAGGAAGGAAGAAGGACAGAATGAGAAGGGGAAGGAGCTGTGGACAAGGACAGGATGGGATTTGCCTCTGTGCCAGAGGGAAGGGGAAGGAGATCCCCCCAGTTCATCCCTGGCAGGACGGCATTGGTAGCGGGGTTGTCCTGCAGCCAGAGGAAATGTTGGGCTGAGACATGAAACAGAGGAGAGGGAGAAAGGGGCAGTGACTTCCTCCTTGCCTGCCTCAGTGTCCCAGGCCATCTTCCTTTTCCTCGCAGCCTCCTCCAGCTCCATCCAGACAAAGATTGGGATTGACAAATCCTGGCTTGGGGGAAAAACAACAGGTGAGGCCCTTGGTCCTGCTTCCCAAGTCCAGCTCAAAAAGTAACTGCCCTGTTCACAGTTGGATGGGCCCAGACCCTGCTCATCTCCAGCCTCCCCCACCCCTCCAGGCTGACAGGATCCCCCAGCTCCAGGATTGGCCTTCGTTGCTCTCCCCACTCTGATGCCAATCAGAGTCCCAATACCAATGTCCTCCCCAGCTGGTACCACTGCCCCAGCCAGTACAGACAGTTTGCCACAGGAACCTTCCACAGTTCTCCAAAGGGGCATCTGTGTCTCACCCTTGGGGCCCTGCAAGATCCAAGCATCCCCTCCCCTGAAACAAACCCTCCCAGAGATCCTCCAATGGATTTGGGGTGAGTTCCCCCTCCCCACTCACCTGTGAGATCTGGGGGGATAGATGCTGCCAGGGCCAGGGGAGCTGCAGACTCAGTGGGCGAGTGGGAAAACAGCGTGGTTCTGCTGCGGCTCCTCCTCTTCTTCCTCCTGTTCCTGCTCTTCCTTTTCCCATCCTCCGCTTCTTCTCTCCCTCCTCTTCCTATTTCTCCTCCTCTGTGCCCAATCCAGATCCTCCTTTCACACCCTTCTCTCTCCCATGGCTGCAGCGTTTGGGTGGAAGGAACCAGGGAACATCCCATGAGCCCCCCAGGGATGGGCAGAGGGCTTGGGAATCCACCCAGTGCAGATCCATTCCCCTCCAGAGCCCCAGGGAATCACTCCAGGGATCAAGCGATGGGGACACAGTGGGATCCCCACGGAACCACCCTTTTTCTATCCCATCCCCAACTTTCCCTCCCCTCTCCTATCGTTCCCCCAACCCAAGGACCCCTCCCAACTCAATCTGGGGATCCCATCCCTCTCCCACTCTGAATCCTCTTTTTCCCTGCACTCCCACCCCTTTCCCATCGTGCCTTCAGCTCCACCTCTCGTCCCTATTTGGTTTTGGGGGATGCAGGTCCCTCCTGCTCAGTCTGGGGAGGTCACATCCCCCCTTTCCCTCAATTCATGCATCTCCTGGCTGCTTTTTCCTGGGAGCAATCCCTCAGTTTTGGGACTTTTGGGGTGTAGTTTAAGAGTGTGACAGCTCTGTCTGGCTTTCCCCTCCTGTTGTGGCCTCTCAGCTGCCCCTGACACCCTGGGGGGGCTGGGATTTTCTTCCTGGGGACAAGGATGTTCATCCCCTTCCAGGAGCCCAATGCCCGGCTGGGGCTCCAGTTCAGGGGGTCCTTGAGCAGCTGCCCCAGAACCTCCCCCATGGTCTCCCAGCACAGCCAGAGCCACTTGGCCTGGGGTCCCCAAAGGCCTCAGCAAGCCCCAAATCCCTCCCAGGAACCCTCAACTCCCTCAAACTCAGCATCCCCCACATCCCCTGCAAGTTCCCCCCATGGCACCAGCCATGGCCATGTCCCCACATGTCACTGCCCATGTCCCACCGTGTCATCACCCACGGCTGTCTCCCCACCATGTTTCCATCCCTGTCATTGTTCCCCACATCTCCATCCATGCCTGTGTCCACCCACATCCCCATGAATGGCTATGTCCCCCTCCATGTCCATGTGTCCCCCAGCTGGTTCAGGAAAAATAAAATACCTCTTTGAAGAAAAGTGGAAAAAACTGTTTATTACACACAATAAAACCTAAACAATATTAAACAATAAAACCTCTTGCTGCTCTAAAAGAGAGACAAACTCACCAAGTCCCTCTGTGGGCTGTAGCTCAGCTCACTCAGTCCCTTATCAGTCCCTCTGGCGCTGGAAATGCCGCGGCCCAGGCCCGGCCCGGTGGGCCACAGGTGTGAGCTGCCCATGCTCTTCTGGTGTTCAGGCCAGAGCAGGTTTAAACAGGTCCAAAGAAAAGGGAAAAAACCCCACAGTAGGGAACTACTTTGCCTCAGCCAGCTAAAACTAACTAAAAGCAAAGGAGAGCTCTGTCCCGCTGTCTGTCCATCCGCAGACAACACAGTGCAGGAGCAGGAATGTGGAGGAGTGAGTGCAGTTTCTGAAAACAAACTCTGCATTTCTTCTCTCCCTCTTCACTCTCAGGAAAAGTCTTAAAGGTACAAAACTTATTATTCCGCATAAACAGAACAGACTGGGGATACAAGCATCATATAGTCCACCCTGAACATACCTTCAACACCATTCAGTACTCCCTGATGTCACCAGAAGATAGGATTGAATGCAAAAGATTTTATGGGGTTGAAAGTCAACAAATCTGCCCTCCCCAAGGAATTCCCATTGTAGGTCTGTGTCCCAATGGATGTTCCTGCTGCTGGGTTTATCTAGCTGCCCACAGGGAACCAGGAAGATGTGGAGCCCCCCAGCCAGATGTCTTCCCAACACAGATCACCAGGACCATGGATCACCAGGGCTCTGCCCAACAACGCTCACTGAGGATCATCCAATGTAGATCGTCTCATGGGGGACAGAGCTGGAGCAGCACACAAAGCTCTTCCCTCACGTGGGGCACTCACAGGACTTCCCTTAGTGGCGCCTCCGTTGGTGTTCTGTCAAGTGAGAGCTCTGTGAGAAGCTCATCCCACACTCCCCACACTCGTAGGGCCTCTCCCCAGTGTGGATGCGCCGGTGCAGGGTGAGGGTGGAGTTTTGCTTGAAGCCCTTCCCACAGTCGGGGCAGCGGAAGGGCCTCTCCTCTGTGTGAATCCGCTCATGTTTGAGGAGATCGGAGCTCCTGTGAAACCTCTTCCCACACTCAGGACACTCGTAGGGCCTCTCCCCAGAGTGGGTGCGCTGGTGTTTTCTCAGGTCTGAGCTCCACCCATAGCTCTTCCCACATTCCAAGCAGGTGTAGGGCCGTTCCCTCGTGTGGATGACCTGGTGCCGAATCAATGCTGAGCTTCCTCTGAAGCTCCTCCCACATTCCCCACACTTGTAGGGCTTTTCCCCAGTGTGGATCACCTGGTGTCGTATCAGTTGGCCCCTCTGCCTGAAGCTCTTCCCACATTCCCCACACTCAAATGGCTTTTCCCCAGTGTGGATCCTCTGGTGTTGGATCAGGATGGAGTTGTGGCTGAAACTCCTCCCACACTCCCCACACTCAAAGGGCCTCTCCCCAGGGTGGATCACCTGGTGCTGCCTCAGGCTGGAGCTCCAGCTGAAACATTTCCCACATTCCAAGCACCTGTGTGGCTTCTCCCTGCCATGAGGCTTCTCCACCAGCTCCAAGCTCTGGCTGGATCACAGGATGCATTCCTGGCTCACAGGGGCTCTTTCCTCCCCAGAACTCCCTGGGTATGGTTTGCAGCCCCTCTTCATGAGGTACATTCGGGGCTTTTCCTCCTCCTCCATCAGGCCACACCCTGAGAATTAAAAATCCTGGTTTGCAGAAAAGATCAAGAGGAGAGCAGCTTGGACTGGGAAAACCTCCATGCCCAAGTTCATCTGGGAAAGTTATTGGGCATCTTGTGTCTGAAAGAACCTCCAAAACACCATGATTCAGCACAAAAATCCTCTAAACATCAAGATGCCGATCAAAAACTTCCCAAACGTCAATATTCAGCAAAAACCTCCTTCAAAATACAGAGATTCAGCCCTCACAAAGCACAAAAGCACCAACATTTGCCCAGTAAAGCTCAGAAACCCCAAGATTCAGCCTCTGTGAAAATCATGGATTCCCCCTCCCCTGGTCACCTGCTGCATACGGACAAAGCTCCTGGGGCTGGGGGGGAGGCTGCAGATACAGGGAGGAGTAGAACCGTGTGGTGCCACCTCTTTCTGCTGCTCCTCCTCCTCTGTTCCTGCTCTTCCTCACACTCCTCTTCCTCCTACTATTCCTCCTTCTCCTGCACAATCCCACGTTCTCCTCCCACGTCCAGGGTTTCACCATTTTGTTCCTCAACCCTGCTTCTCCTTCCCTTCTCCTCCTGCCCCAGGCCCAGCACCCGCTGCCGGCTCCCTCTTGCCCCCAAACCCACAGCATCCCACGGCAGGGGCAGGGATGGAGCTGGGGCAGGTCGGGCTGGGGCAGCGCTGGGCTCTCGGCCGCTCCCGCCCGCACTCGGTCCCCACTGCAGCCGCTCCCACCAGGACAGCGCGGGGGGGCCCGGCCTTGGCGCTGCCCCACTCCCACCTCCCCAAATTCCCCTCGAGGGGGGCGCTGGGGCCGAGGGGGGGGGTGGGGGGGGAGGTTGGGAACGCTGGGATCCGCGGGTCTGCCTGGCAACTGCTGAGTCATCAGAGCCGCGTGCTCTGATTGGCTGAGCGCTGCCTGAGGGGGGGGGATGTCCCACAAACGCGGGATCCCCATGAAAGGAAGAAGAGGAAAGTGTCTTTACAATCAGATGCTGTGAATCTGATGAGAGATAGAGCCAGGAACTTGTACGTAAGGAAGCGACAGGAGAAGCCATCAGTTTAAGAAAATGTTGTTAACTGATGACACAGACTGCTGCTCAGCCAAGGTCCTGCCACATTCATGAACTTCGAGAAGAAGAACAACAAAGACTTCATAGAGCCATGAATATCGGTTGCTACACAAAAGTAGGGATCATATCAAGGGGATATGTAGTAAGTGGATTGGGAAGTCTCTTCCTCTCAAGTACACCACCCAATGCGGAAAGGAAGAGGGAGATGCAGCTGGGAAAATTAGGATGAACAGGAGGCTGTGTCCTCCACCAACTGGAGAGACCCTGTAGGAAATGTCCCATGGCCTCTCCCTTTCTTTAGGAATGAAATTACTTTTACAGGACTCCTCTGTCTGCTTTGTGGACAGAATCCTCTGGTGACGTCAATTTTTCCACACACCTTGGGACTCGTCCGGAATTCTATCCACCGTCTGGGGCAGCGGGCAGTGAGTGCAGCTGAAGGTGCCTCACCCAGTTTGGGTGATCGGCCCCCTTGGGGGCGGCAGCACCGGGGACTGATTGGGTACCTGAGAGTGACCAGGAGACAGACGAGTGACACATCAGGGGGGGCTGTGAAGAGTCAGCAGGGAGAGAGCACTGAAAATCTCATCAGTGAGTGCACTGGGATCTTTGGGGAGTGAGCACGGCAGGGCACCCATGGAGACAGAAAAGGGAAAGCCTGGAAGGGGTCCTGTGCCAAAGGGATGATGATCCCAAAATATCTCTGAAGGGTCCCTTGGGAGAAGGTTGAGGTAGATTGCACACTCCCTCAGAGGCAATTAAGGACTTGGACACCCAGGGGGGCAATAAGAGAAGTGGAGAAGGGATTAGGACAACAGGGGATGGATGGCATTGGTGTGCTGGGAAGAGACTGGGTGAAGGGGAGTGTGCAGGAATTTGATTAAGGCAGGAAGCAGCAGGAGGAATCTATGTGGTGAGAAAAAGAAAAGGGGAGGAAGAGAAAAATACTCAGAATTTGGATATTTTTCAGCAGAGTCTTATCCTCAACATTTGCCAGCTGATCATTTGTATCCCCGGTTTCCAGGAGAGGAAAACAAGGAGGTCAGGGTTTCAGGGGGTTTCTCTGTGGGGGGCAGCGGCAGCACCGGGCGCAGAGGTGCGGGACCGGGAGCACGGGCTGGGGGCCTGGGGGGAGCTGCGGGGCCGGGCCGGGGCTGTGGGGCAGCCGGGGCTCAGCGCCGGGCGCTGCCTGACCCCACCAGCCTCGGGCAGGGCCGGCAGTGGCCCCCGGCCCCCAGGAGGCTGCGGGACGCCCCGGCCGCTGCCCGGCCCCGTGGAGCTGCCGGCCCTGCCCGCCGGGGGGCGCCTTTGGACACTGCGGCAGGACAGGGACCGGCTCTGGGATACGGGCTGGGGAGGGCACCCTGAGCACAGGGACGAGGAGCAAGGAACACCTGGGAAATACAGATTGTACATGGAAGGATCCAGATTTTCTTTTCTTTTCTTGGGATCACCACAGAAACGAAGGATTTTGCAGAAAGCTCAGCAGCTCTCAGAGGATGAGCACCCACAGGCACTGAGGGGGGCTGCAGGAGGGGAAGAAGAAGGCCCTGCAGCATTTGGGCACAAAGGCCCAGCAGGTGAATGCAAGAAGGGAGCAGAAAAAGGCCAGGCTGAAGGCAAAGGCCAGGGCAGAGTTCCTACACCCCCTGAGGGATCAACCCCAGGGCCCAAGGGGGCCCCAGCACCCAGGGCACGGGCTCAGCCACAAGCACCCGGCAGAGGCATTGCCCTCCTCGGCAGGGGACAGCCCACCCAAACAGCCCCTGGCAAGGAATCAGGGCTCCAGCTGCAGGGCACAAGGACACTGCAAGCACAGACAGCAGCACCCTCAGGACCAGCAAGTCCACCCCTTGATGGACATGGATTGGCAGGGCTGTCACAGCTCCCATCACACCAGGGACCCTCCACACTGGAGCCCTTGAGAACATTCAGGTGGGTCTGCATTGAGAGGAGGCATTTTCAGATGGACACAGGGGCCTCTCAATCCACTCTGAATCTTAGACCTAATGGGCAAAATAGGAAAGGCATGGTTTAATTATTAAGGGAATAAGTGGGAAAGATGAGCAGGTATGATTTCATCAACCACTACTAGGAGATGTAGGGGATATGCTTGAAATACATTAATTTCTTTTTCTTCCTACTTGATTGCAATTTACTGGGAAGGAATTGGCGGCTGGATTTTTATATTGTAAAAGTTGATACAGAGGCTTATGATGTTGTACTTATGTGTCAAATGTCTGGCAAGGCCTATGCTGAAGTGAACCCACAAATGTGGACAGTCCAGGGAAAGAGGGAAAATTAGATATGGAGCCTCACCAAATTACTTTGAAGCAACAAGGACAAGAGGTTGCTTGTATTGATTTAAAATCAATACCCTATTCCAAGAGAGGGAAGGAAGGGCTTACAGCTTATTACTGACTCTCTCTTAAAGGCAGGGTTTTGGAGCCAGGGATCTCTCCCTACAACACTCCAGTCAAGAAACTGGATGGATGGACACAAGGAGGAATCACAGAATTTTCAAGTGTTAAAAAGCAGATTAACTGAGGCTCCTGCCCTGGCCCTCCTAGACAGGGAGAAAGAATTTGAATTGTAGGTGGATGTTAAACAGGGCCATGCCGAAGAATTCTTGTGTTAAAATGTTTAACCCAGTGGCCAGAGTGGCCTCAATGTCTGCAGAATTGTGCAGACACAGCTCACATGGGAACTGAGGCCTGAAAACTGATGACAACAGGAGGATCTCCTAGAGTTCAAGTCTGGCATCAAGTTAAAGCTCTGACAACCAAAAGAGCCTCTAAATGAATGAGCAGGGCTCGGTTATTACAGTATGAAACTTGTTCAGTGGAACAGGAGGATTCAGAACTGAGGACAGGGCAAGGGTTTAACCCAGCCTCCTGTTTGAACAGCCTGGAGAGGGGCTGGCAAGGAACCCAGGACTGCACTCAAGGGACAGAGCTCCAGACCCAGGCTGGGAGAGATTGATGAGACAATCCCTGGCCTGAGGGACAAAATGTGTTTATGGATGGCTCTGCAAGGGCAGCAGAAGGGAAAAGAGCTACAAGACAGGCTGTTATTAAGGAAGGGGAATCAGACAAAGCGCAGGTCACCGCCCCATGCTCAGCTCAACCCACGGAGCTCTGGGTGCTTATAAGAGCCTGGCACTGAAATGCCCTGGGCAGGAAGGCTTCAATATCTTCTGCTGACACCATGGCACCTAACAGGGGGCAAAAGCAATTCTGACTGCTTCAATCTGACTGATGCAATCACTGCATCACTTATTAGGGTATTTCTGAAATAATTAATTCATAGAGAAGGGATTGTGGAAGCAATAGACTCAGAAAGAAGAACTCATTTTACTCGAAAGATCCTTCAGGGGGTTATGGCAGCTTTAGGAATACAATGGGACCTCCATAACCCCTGGCACCCCCTGAGCTCAGGTCAGGAGAAATAAAGAAACACTTTTGGAAGCTGGTGATAAAAACCAAGATGCCGTGGGTACAGCTTTTGCCATTGGCTATGGCAAGAAGAAGAACCAAACCCAGGGCAGATATTCAATTATCTCACTTGGAATTGATGTCTGGAATTCCTTACCCTGGTAACTCTCCACCTTGTGCAGGGTGGAGATAAGGGATGTATGTTTCAAGCAGTCCGTGGCCAGAATCCTGTCTCTTGTGAAATCTCTCCCACAGGAAGCTGGGCTGGCACAGAGCCTGCCCTGGCACTTTGCTGTTGCCAACACCCAGCCAGGACATCGGCTCCTGCCTAAGGAGTGCAAAGCAGCACCACTGGTGGCCAAGGGGCCCATGCCAAGTGTCCCTGAGGCCAGAAACAGCCGCCAGCACAGCTGAACACGGGGGGATCCCTCAGCCTGGCCTCAGGGGCTCTGAAGCCCCGGAGATTTGC